CTGTCATCGTCGGTCGTTTGTTGGACTTGCCGCAGTGGCAGTGGCAGCATCAGTGGCAGCGACAATTGTGTGGCTCAGTGTTCGGAGCACTTGAAGTAAGCGGCTTAGGATGCTGGCATCGCGCTCGGATTCCACGCGAATCTCCAGACACGAGACTTGAGACTTGTCGATGGAATTGTCGCAAATGAAAATGGTACCATTGTGCACCCATGCCCTGCCTTCAGTGGCTGTCTTTAAATATTTGTTCCCTGCAGTCGTAGAGTGCAAGGAAGGGTGCACTACGTTCCCTTATATAAATAAAATAAGCTTCTTGAAGATTCTTAAAATAATCGACTGCAGCTCGAAACTGATCAAGATGGAGGAACTTTCTTTGGAGCCAATCAAGATGAATCTGTATATCAATACTATCAATATACATATCTATAGATGATGCACTTAGATTCATGATGAAGTTCCCATTAGGAATATTTCCTTTTCCTGCATCTTAAGCACATCTCAATATCGCCTGTCTAACAGTTGGAATACCCTACTGCGAGCACATACAATATATCGGTCTTCCTTATTTCCTGTTGAATTCTGTTGATTTTTAATCAACTACTTGATGCCTGCCATCACGTTCCACTGAGTGGGTGTGTCGGGGTCATAAAAACTGATTTTAATGCTCTGCCAAACTATTGGGCAGCTCCGCTCCGCTCCCCACTCCCACTACCTCTGCCACTGCCACAGCCACCGGCCAACTCTCTTCAGTCTTTGTCTTTTACAACCTTTTGTCAGTCGTTAATTTTTATGTTTATAGCGCAAATTCTCGCCTTGCTGCACACACGCTCACTGAATTTTCAAAAACCGCAAAATGGCGCACCAATTGATGGGTAGGATGAGGGGGTGAAGAAGGAAAGGACAGACGGTGGGGGCACTTCGACGTCGTTCAAGGTAGTTAAAACAATAACAATTAGCTGCAAGCAAAGTCGTTGGCCACACACAGAAATTAATTAGCGAACCGAAGCGAGCGTCGCTTCGAGGTTTGGTTGAGGCGTAAAAGTGAGGTTAGCTTGGTGCCAAATTGAGGTTAGAATAAGCTGAAACAAAGTTCAAGTAGAAATACCGCGAAATAAAGTCAATTATATATCGAAGAGGACGGAAAATCAGAAGGTCAATGTCTGAGCGAAGGTTACCTTTTGCCAAAAGTGAGCTTAAGTTCCTCCCAGACAAAATGCAATAAGTGATTCCGCAAAAAAAATTAAACTTAAATTATAGATCGGCGTGAACTGCAATGGACAGCAGGAGGAATCTAATCAAAGTAGTGAAAACTTTCGACCGAAAAAATTGCACACTGAAACTTGGTCCGCCTCTCCGGGCAAACTTTTCGCAAACTTGCTCTCTCTTTCGATCTGTAGGATGGGATGGGATGCCCTGCCCAGGCTGTCTCTTTTCCGGGAAGAATAATTGCCGAGCTGGAGCCAAAGCCAAAACTTAAACAAAAACGCAGACGTTAATGAAATTTCGATAAACTTTGCCAGCTACTCGACTGCAACAATGAAAGGAGCAAAGGATTGTGCTTCAGGGAGAGGAAAAGCGAAAAATCGAGTGCAATTTTACCAGACAAATCAAAACAAATTATGATTTATTGAATTTTAATTTAGTGCCAGTGCAGAAAATTTCCCATAAATATTTGAGGAAGCCAAAAACCGAACCAGAATCTGAATCAGAAGTTATGCTCATTGCCGTTCGGGTGAAGTGGCGTGGAGTGTGGAAGTGTGGAAGTTTTTTGGGTGCTTGCAACCCTCAGGGCGGACGGCCGGGCAGTCGACTGGAAGTACAGTTGCCGTTCAGCTTTTTAGCTCTGCGCGTGCCTGCCTCACGCACAATCAGAGACGGCGCGGAGCGAAGCAGCGGGAGCAGGATGGAAGCAGCTGCGAGGATGAGAGACGCGGATGAGATTAGGTCCTGGTGTGGGTTTGCCAAATGTGCGTGTGTGGATTGGTGTATGCAAATTGCTGGCCACATGTCATTTCTGACCATTTCCGCCCGAGGGCCCGCGATAGCTAAGCCGAAAAACAACAACAATTACAATAGCAACCCCTCGCGAGGGTTGCTTTCCCTTTGCGAACTTTTTTGCAACTTGTTTTTACCTACTGACCTTGAAAAAGGAATTTCAATTCAAACATGCAAATTCAGTGCCTCCGAGCAGCTGAAGAACCAACCCACAAACCACCCCATGGGGTGGATCGGGATCAGGTTGCCCGTGCCCCCCTACCTCTACCTCCACCTCCACCGCTACCCTGTTCTGTTCTCTGTTCAAGCCTTGGCAAAATTGTGCAAAAATTTCATTATATCAAAACGGGGAAAAACAACAAAGAAAGAGAGCCAGAGAGATTCGCTCGCTTATCGCCGAGTCGAGTCGCTTATCGCGCCACATGGAGCAGATCCATTAGTCAATCATCTGTCTTTAAATATGTGCAAGCCCCGTACCTATTACCGATTTGATTGCCCGGCTAATCGAGCAATCCCAGAGGTAATTTGCCTCCTATGCATGCACAAATTGCTCGGGGAGCTATCGATTTCACTTGAAATCTTCCCTCAAGTCAACTCTTCCTTATACAAATCGCTCTACTAGGCACAATCTGCTGTTGTTCGCATCAGGTATATTGGGCTGGATGGGAACCTCAAGGGAGGGATGGCGACAGGGATGAGATGGGTTCTCGAGTAAAATATATAATGAAGTTCAAATAGAGAATTACCGACTCCATTGCCCTTTATGGATATATGTAGTACTATTTCCACAATTTCCTGCATTAAATCATCAACCTAACATGTAGCATACGTTCCCAACTCTTCGTTTTCTGAACTTTGGCTGAAACGTGTTCATCGATGAAGATTCTCTTGCAATAATTTTAAATATTTTCATTATTTCCAAATATTTGTTAATGAAAAATGGCGGATAATATGGCTTTATGCTTGGCCTGTCTGAGTTCCCACTGGAAACGTGGCCCAAACAATGGCTGGAGAAGACTTTTCATTAAAATTTCACATGCTAAAGGAGTATGCCGGGGGAGAGGTGCGAGAAGACTACAAGCGAGTGCGGCAGAGGAAGGAGACGGCAAGGATTATTTATGGGGAGCCGGAAGCTGTCGGCGCAGCTGCCTCTCAGTGGCTGCAAATGGCATTGCAATAAAACGAAATTAAATTGCTATTTTGCATACATATTATGTGTGTCCCGCATGTCCAGGACACACTCGAACACATCCCGCACGCAGATGGGCTTCATATTCATATCCATATTCATACTCATATTGTCTGGCAGCCGAATCCTTTGACAACATCTGGCCCCTGAAAATAGTTTGCAGCCTCCGTTCAACCTCCGACAACCTCAACCCTTTGTAATTGCTCGACGCGTTATTAAAATGCATAAATTAATAGAAATTTTTGGGGTAAAGACACCTTTTTATGGCCTCGACTCAACCTGCACCATGTGGGGATTGCTCCGGAAACGGTTTCCGAGCCACGTAATTTGTGATGGCTTATGGCATAAACAATTACATTTAGAGAAAGTAAAATCCTGGCCAAATGCACCACAAATGACCGCAATTATGGAACCCTCCTTACGAGTCGACGGTCCGCCAGCATCTATCCGCAAATCAGGGCAATTAATATTAAGTGGATTATTATTTAATGACCATTGCACGCACTCGGAGACAATGCCCCGCCCTGGACCACCACCAGAACCCACCATCCAGCTCAATCTCATTCGGTCCTAACTGTTATGATCCCAAATGGAGTTTTAGTTCCTCTTATGGCTGTCATATTCTAATTACATCAGAGCACGCAGTTATTACACGGATTCGGGCTGCGATTTGATGACTCCTGACCTCCCCGGCCCACCTCCTCGAGTAGTTATTGCGGCAATAGACGGCATTAAATGGCAAATTGACGTTCATTTCACGTGCTAGTGGACCATATCGGGATGTGATATGGCAGACAAAGTCCTCATTGAATGGGCGTCGCTAATTGATAAATTACCCTGATGCGTGGCTCGACTCCATACGGCAAATGGAATGAGCTCCAATATGTACATATGTATGTATGTCCCCGAAAGTACGAGTATTTTCACAACAGCGAGGAGGCAGGAGATAAGGAAACTGCGATGCAGATTCAGGCACGGAGAACCCGGAGAACTCTGGCACCAGCCTTACGTAACATGGTGACACTCTATCATAATCATCGTCATCAGCGAGGTCGTCACCAGAGGCTGGTCCCTTTCCGGCTTAGTCAGCAGTCCGGCAATATGGCGGCCCTGCCCCTGCACTGGAGTCCACCCGACCAGGCCCAGCCGTGTGCAGTAGAAAATGATAAGCTGGAAAGAGAGAGAGGGAGAGAATTTTCCTCCAAACATGACGTGGAATCCCGCAAACAATGAAAAGAAACGTGGCCCCCACCTATCTGTCACTGATAAGATAGTCAAGCTCCTTTAAGCTTCTGTGATTCTTCAAGAGATTACTTTCTGGTCTCTATGATTTTCCACTGGCTGTTATCGATTAAAGTTGTCAGATTCCATATTCCAGTCATCATACCGAACCCAATGATCATTGTCTTTTTAAGGACAGCCGTTCCTTACAAATACTACTCTCCTGAAGGTTCATGCGGTTCATTCTAAGACATCTGTACAGTAGAAGTACGGTAAAAAATTCTACCGATCTTTGCCCATTCCATAGTGTTTCTCAATTATATGGTCCATTGAATTATTATATGCATTGTTCGGCGATCTTTACGAGTACAAAGAACATACAAAGTAGTTCCTCCATTGTTCGGGGTACACACAAAGAGGTATCCAAAGTACAACCCCAGCTGTGTTGCTATCAGCAATCGGGGGAAAACAAACCCCCAAGAGGCAGCTGTCAGAGCGAAGATCCGAGATCCGAGACGCCCCACAATAGTCGCAACCAGACCAAATTTTATCAGTACGCAGAATGCTGACTTAGCGACCGAATAATCTGTTTTCCAAGTTGATATTGTATTTTGTGTTGTGTTTATTTGTTCACTCGGTAATATATATGTTAAAGATACATTTGGGCGAACTTCGCTAACTTATTTATGATAACATTATCACAATCATGGTGTGAGTTTGAATGGAGGAAAACCAAGGCGAACCACGGGCCCCGGACGAGGCCAGTGTAAATAATTAGAATGGCTACTTCTGATAATGCTGTTGTTTCTGCTGCTGCTGTGCACTGCGATTTATTGCGGATTGAACGGGGGAAACAAATCAATTTAAAGGTGATCGAAAGGCATCGCAGTGCGGAATTTAGTAGGGAAGATGAGTGTAGATTGTGTGGAGCGGGAACGCCTCTTACTGCTTCTGCAGATACTCGTCGAACAGGTAGATGGACAGGGATGGGTCCGGCACCTTCATCAGCTTGGCGAGATCATTGGCGTAGCCGGAAAGCTTGCGCACGGAATCGGCCTGCTTGCCCAGGTACTCCTCCTCCATGTAGTGAGCCATCTCGGGGTCGCGCTCGGTGGCGTGGATGGCACGGGTGTGGATGTGGGTGGCGCCGGTGGCCAGCTGCTTCTCGTTGTCGAGGGCCAGGGCCAGGGAGTGCAGCTCGTCGACCTCCAGAGTGGGACGCTGGGTGCTGACGGAGGCGGCCGACTCGTGACGGGTGTTGAAGTCCACGATACCACCGCGCTTGGTGATCTGCTTGATCAGGGCAATGCTGTCGTCAAAGGAGCGGTCCGAGAGGCCCTGGTACAGCTTTTGGAATCCGGGACGGTTCTTCTGGTACGAGTTGAAGTGGGTGGCCAGGAGCAGGTACTCGTAGGACTTGGTCAACTGGGAGTTGATGTAGGCCTGGACCTCGGGCTCGACGTGCTCGATGCCGGCGAAGCGGGCATTACAAATCGAGTTGCCTGCGTCGGAAGAGGGGGGAAGGAAATAAAAAGTTATATAAAGATTTGTCTCATTGAGGAAGTGTCAGGGGAGACAGGGGGTGTAAGGTTAAGCTTACTTTCGCCTGTGAAAAAGCCCGTGAGCGCTTGTTTATTTGCATAAAATTCAAAGGCAAGAGAAATAACACACAATCACATCAGTTAGGTTCTCTTCACATGCACTCTCTTTTTCACGCGCTCTTTTGTTACTCACCAGAGAACGTCGACGAAGAGCAGGCGGTAACCACGCTGTTGTGGCAATACTCTTCCTCTGCCTGGGCCAGAGCGCCGAGGCTGGCAATCAAAGCGAATGCAACGAGCAGTTTCATCTTTGTTAAATTACTAAAAGCAGAAAATTGGTGGGGTTATAGGAATCAGTTTCACAATATCACAGATAAAAATCTAAATCGGATAGAAAAGTCTCAGGCGACTTTGTTTTGTCTCGTTCGAAATTCCGTTTTTGCGTCGTAATTTCTTGAATTTTCCATGCACCTCTCTCTCGCTCTTTTACAACAAAACCACCACCACTGTCACCAGCAATAACTGTTTCGCTTCGAATTTCGATTTTAGAGCAAGATTAAGTTGAGGATCTCCTCGACAGACCCACGGAACTCACACTAACTAAACTAATTGACTAAACTCACTTTAGATTGTCGCAATGAATTCAAATTCAATTTTCAGCTGCTTTGTGGGTTCTTTATGTGCTGCTTGGTGGAACTCAAATCGGGAACTGCTGTTTATAGCGTCGCGTTTGCCTCGTTTCTATGCGGTCGATACTGCTGCTGAGAGCGTGCGCCAGTGTGCGTGAGTCTGTATGGGTATTTGTTGTTTTGCACTCGTCGTTGTCCAAGTCGCCTCTCTTCACGTTCGGATTTTCGTTGTCAGTCAAATATGTATGGTTCAGGCAATATGGCCGCTCCGCTGTGGTTGCTGTTGTTTTTTCCATGTGACTCATGTGTTCTCTCGCACTGGAGCGTTAGTCAGGGTTGTCAGCGTGTGCAAACTTGGTGGTTTCAAGTGCCGTAGATCTTTATCAACTAGTAGGGACGGACTTAAGCCAATTTTGAAAATAGCAGAAAGATCTCCACGTAATATGGAGAAACCAAGAATTTATGTAACATAGAGTATGCGTATAATTATCTTTGGCGAATTCTTGGATTGGCAGCTGTCACTTGCTGCCGCGTTGCCCTAGCTGATAACGATCGAAGTATTGATTGATCCGGCGACAAGTCGTAGGAATTATATTGTCAGTCAGTATCGATACTCGAGAAATCCATGCGCCTGGCAACCCATGACGTGTTCTTCTCGAACACAACCAAAACAAAAACAAAGAACAGCTGACGCTGAATCAAGAGCGGCCATTTGACGCCATATTGCATTTGTCAGACCAGAGAAGAAATTTTCACATTGAGGACGTGTGTATTAAATTAAGTGCCCGAATTATCTAGAATTTTCAATTATCAGTGTATTACAAATAGCCGCCGCAACAAAGCAGCGACGACATGTTGAATAGATAAGAGTGCACACTCTCCCACACACATACACACACACACAAACACACACGCAAAAGGCGAGTGAGAAAGAGCGTCGGTCGGAGCGCTTAAAAGTGTTTTGTACGCCACAGGCATTCACAGTTCGCATTCACGTTTCCAATAACGAACAAAGCATAAGCATTACCGCAGCAAAATCGTCGCCGAGCAGATTATTCTGTCAAGTCAAGAAGGTACTGGAAAGTAAAGCCCCATTTAGTCAAAAACCGAGCAGGCGTCGCCTTCTATGCCAGTGTGTGTAAAGGCACTTTGACGGACAGCAGCCGGACCCAAATAATCAGTTTCAGATTCCGATAAAGTCTAGTGCGGGTGCGCCTATTTAACATTGGCAACCTCATTGAGACGCTTCATTCTCATTCTCGTGCATCTACCACATACAACGTTTACTCAACGTGACAATTTGTTCTGTGATTTCGTGTAAAGACTTTCCTGAACCCAAAACCGAAGAACAAAGATGGTGAAATTAATTGCAAGCCTTCTGGTGCTGGCCGTGGTGGCCCAACAGGCGTACGGAGACTTTAAATGTGAGTATTTTGTGTTTGTTTAAACAAAAGCAAGGGGGAACGGTGGAAAAACAATAAAATTCGACGCAATAACACCAAAAGGCCTCGCCAAGAGAGCGGGAGAGCATGCGCGCTAAGAGAGTCGCTCTTTAGTTGTGCTCTTTGTGCTCGCTCTTAAGCCCAGCAAAACAAGTAATTTCACAAGTTTGTTATTTGTTATGAAAATTAATTCAGCCAAATGCTTCCGTTTCGTTTTTGGAGAAATGGAAACCAGTTTGTGGATTTGATAATTATTTTAAAATCAATTTCCATATTACGCGAGTTTTGCTTTCATTTCACCGAGTAACGGGTCAAGCCCAGCTGTATTTTGCACACGGCCGCTGTCGCCAGCTTAGAGCTGTGCGAGGGAGATAGCAAACTTTTGCACACGGCTCCACATCAAAACAAATTCCGTTGCTATGGCGGCGAGTGTTGCGCACGTTACCAACCTACAGCAACGCCAAAGAGAGGGTATTGCCTCTCAGAGCGCGAGAACTGCCCACTGCAGTTTGCACACGTTCTCCTTGTTCTAGAAAGGTTTATGCAATACCAATACCAATCCACCTCCCCCTTAGCCTTAAGCAAGAAAGATAGCAAGAGTTTCGCGCCAGTGCGAAGGAACGAAGGGATGAAGCTAAAGCAGAATAATGACCATGGTCAAGATCGAATAGTAAAGAACGATGAGTGGAGTGGCGAGTGCAAAGGTCTTTAGTGAATTAAGCATAAGAATTGTTAGCCGATGACGATACCTGACCGCATTGTTTTCTTTGACAGGCTCGCTAGAGGTTCCCGAGATCCCCAAGGGCTGGATGGACTTGAAGGACGGCTGCCTCAACGGCATGCGCCACCAGATCCAGGAGGAGATCAACGCTTCATACCAGTACCTGGCCATGGCCGCCTACTTCGCCCGCGACACCGTCAACCGCCAAGGCTTCGCTGAGAACTTCTTCAAGGCCGCCAAGGAGGAGCGCGAGCATGGCTCCAAGCTGGTTGAGTACCTCTCCATGCGTGGCCAGCTCACCGACAGCGTCAGCAACCTCATCACCGTGCCGGTTAGTATCAGATAATAGGGTATCTGCGGGGTGTTTCCGAAACTTATGTATCACACCCCTTATCCAGACCGTAGCCAAACAGGAGTGGAAGGATGGTGCCGCCGCCCTTGAGGATGCTCTCGAGCTGGAGACCAAGGTCACCCGCTCCATCCGCAAGTTGATCCAGACCTGCGAGGGCAAGCCCTACAACCATTACCACCTGGTGGACTACCTCACCGGCGTGTACCTGGAGGAACAGCTCCACGGACAGCGCGAGCTTGCCGGCAAGCTGGTTACCCTCAAGAAGATGATGTCCACCCACGGCGAACTCGGAGAGTTCTTGTTCGACAAGAGCTTGTAAAATGGTTCTCACGTTCCCGTTCTGGACCACCCACACCACCGCCACCGTGGAGGAGGTGTCCGGTCACTCTTCAAACTTATCAGCCAGCAAATCGACTCCATCTAGTGTTCTGTTATCTATTTCGTTATCACCCGAGCTGAGACCCTTCCCAGAGTGTCCGCCATTAAATCACAAATTAAAGCTTCAGCTTTCATTCTCTTTGATTGGCACTAAATTCTCCCAATAAATTACCCGTTTCCTTCTGGCTCACCTCGGATCCACGGGGCACAGCAAAAACCTTAGAGTTCTGTTCTTATCAATCCACTCCCCAAGCTATCTAGTGCGAGAGCGGAGAGTATTATCAGTTCTATGAGTGGTCATTTACGCTATGGCCTATCGCTATTGGGAAGGGTCCAAAGCTCTGGTAGGGAGTTCAGCATTATGCAAGCGCCGAGATTCGCCTAGATATAAGTGACACGCGCAGGGAGGGATCATTTTATATAAGCCATCATGCAAAACTCATACGATACATTAAATAAATATCTCTATATTTTTCTGTCAATTAGACCAGCAAGCTATAATAAAATAAACAATACACAAGATTTCGAGTTTCTTTTTTAATAATGGTTATATTGGGTATAAATCAGCGGTTGACCTGACCCCATCTCGTAGGCATACGAAAATGTTCTGCTGCAAGCAAGTTTCATAGCACAAAGATCGGCCGCTGTTCAGCCCAGTAATAGCCTAACAGGGCCAGATCCCATGATCATGGGAATGGGAACATTCAAATCGAAGGCGGAAGGCAAGTCGAATCGTACCTATTTTCCCATCAGCCAGCTTTGACAGTTGCAAAGCAGTATTGAAATGAAATTCCATCCACAGATACTTGTGGATCACATTGCCACCAGCTAAATAGCTGCTTTCTACGAATAAAGCTTTCTATGAAAATGTTATACGATTAACCCTTTTATGTCCCCTGACAATGCACGTGATGAGCCGTGTCTGGGATCACGTCCCGCCTGTCCATCAGGGGCTGGCCAATGTCTAATGGTCTGCTAGCATCGCATATTCCGTTTGATAAACGTCTCGGTCTTCCACTCCTTCCACAATATTGACCCTTTCATGTACTCCTCCATCCCCATCTCCCATCTGGCTTAATCTGATTTGAAAACACAAAAAGCCAACCATAAAGAGCCAAGTGAGTCGAGCGAGACGGAGCCTGAGATGGAGATGGACATGGACAGGGGCAAGTACAAGGAATAATTCATAAGTCACTTGTAAAAATGTCGTCCCTGGCCTCAGTCCACCCCAATTCCCTTTCTCTCCAGCTCTATCCTGGGTCGAGGGGCTGCGCCCGGGGCTAATGTGTGTTCGACTTCACCCTTTCGATGCCGCTGTCGATTTCCGTGATTGACAGGACATGGCATGCATTGAATTATGATAAATTGTGGCAACTGTCAAAAGGCGGTGATGATGGTTCCCTGTATGTCCTATTCGGGATGGCTAGCAGGCGAGCGTGTCCATAGTGGATGCTCTGCTGGGTCGCATTTTAAACAATTTTATAAGCTAATATTTGAACAGATGTCCTGACCCGAATCGGGTTTAAAATTGCATCAATCCGACAATGGGTCGCAAATTTTTTGATAAGCGGCGCAAATATTAAGCGCAATTCGTTTGATTGACCAGAACTGTGGGAAGACGGAGGAGGATGGGAGTGAGGGTAGAGCTTGTCCGGCATAAAAATGGACCATGACCACTAGGCCACTATCAATCTTGGCTAACGGATGGAAACTTTTGTTCATGGCTCTGGGCGGATTGGCCGATGATTTTTATTGCATTTTTTGCGTATGTTTTCATAAGGGATGGGGTTGGAGGAGGGAACGAGCCAATTTTGCTGTGAAATATTCCGGTCAGAGACGTGCGAGTGATTTATCCTGAACTGAATCCGAATATCATTCTGATAAAAGTTCCTCCACGCTTATCTCGCTGACATTTGTTCCCTGCTAGTTGACAAATTTGAAACGGCCGACAGGCAATCGCCAGGACAATGGGCGTTCCATGAGATGTGGCATGGAAATGGGAAATGGAAAATGAATGCAGTCGGAGTTCCCTTTCCCAATTCTCTGTCGGAAGTCTGTCTGTGTTAGGATCCTGAACCACAGCGAACGGCACCGAACCGGTTCTGGCTTGAAGTGGCAGTCGCGAGTGCCGCAGGACATTCGCCGCCTGCCGCCGAGATATGATTTATGTCCGGGCAGTTCCTTTGTCTCGCACTCGTCTGCTCTGCTCTGCACTTTCTCTGCTTTCTTCGGTCTCCTGTTTACCGTTCTCACCATAAATCTTTGGCCGACCATCGAGGAGTGACAGGCGTAGCCCCCGGCTAAACCTACCGAACCGGTTGGTAGAAAAGGAGAAAGAGCCCGAAAGAGTCCAGAGGGATCAAGTACCTCCGATCGAAGTAAGAAATTGCTGCTGAAAGAATAATTCAAGATACAACCTTAAACTATAAACCAATATTTTTCCTACTTTTGGTATGAAGATAAGTTAAGTGAATCTATCTAATCCTTTTATCGTATATTTCCTAAAGATCTTCTCTAGCTTAAACACCTTCGTTATAAGAAAAGAAAGGCGAAATATTGATGGGAAGATTTATGCTTTAGAACATTTTTGTCTTTCCTTTGCTCCTTGCACTTCCATTTTTCGCCAGCTACCCATTCACTTTCCCCGCTCTCGCTCTCAATGAAGTTGTTCTCCAGTTAGGGATGTATCACGCAAATGATTAAAATTCAACAAACATCGAGCAGGACCAGGAAAGACTACGGATTGGCATTGTCGCACTGGCACTCCAGGCTCTCGACTCCAGCTACAGCTCCAGCTCAAAGCGTTATTGAAATGTCTTAGCAGCTGTCCAAACATGTCCCGTCCGTCCTGCAGTCCTCAGAGGTCCATGTTAAACCAAGTAGAGAGGAGGAGGGGCGAGTCAGGGATTTTGCTGATTTAGCATATTGACTCCTTGGCTGGTTCCCTGGCTCCCTGCCTGGTTCCTTGGCTCCCTGGCTGGCAAGGAGAAACTTATACAAGATTTATGTGGTCGACGCACGCCAGGCGACAGCCGAGATAAAAAGGATTGGTATAACTCACGCCCAGCCAGGATATCGAGGCAGTGGCTAGGGCAGCGGAGGCACAGGAACAGGAGCGGGTAGTGCAATAAATTGGATTTGCATATTAGCACACTGCCAGTGGACAACTGAGAGGGGGATGCGATGCTCAGATGTCTGCACCCTTGGCCGCTCGGGAAATTCCGGGCGTGGACGGGGTGACCACTGACCTCGCATTTTGGCCGGGGGCGGCCATTAGGCAGAGGATCTTAAGTACGAAATCTTGCTTAAATTGGAAATAAATCATTAAAAATATGTCCGTGTGTGGGGAAAGCATCCTTTGAGCCTGAGCTGTTTGCCGAAAGGGTTTGCAACAATTTCCAGAATCTGTGGCATTCACATGTGGGGACGGATGTGCGATGGGGTGCCTGTAATTCCCTTTGATTTATAAAGATAACGACGCTGTGTCGTGTTTAATTTGAATGGTATAAAACAGCCTCCCCACTCTTTGGTATTTCCATAAATCCCGGGCGCAGTATCAAGTCCGACTGGTCAGGCAAATATGACTTATGTGGCATGCGGCAAACTTTTCTAATTATGCATACCCAGACATATTACTTTCGACATAGTTCTTTGTCTTTCTTGTGTTTTATCTTGGGGTTTCGGAGGTGGGTGACATTTTTTAAGTGACCGTTTTCATTGACACAAGAGGGCAGCGAAAGTTTCGGCCACAAACTTTGCCGGGACATGAGACATGAGACGGAGATAAGGATAAAGTCCTGTCCTGTCCGGGGCGGCACTTTTGCTTTCCTCTGTTGTGTTTATTGCCGGTCCGTACCACTCTCCTTTCGTACGGTTCAATGGCCACAAGTATCAACTATGAATTTCCCCAGAGGGTCATTCCGTGGCGAACTTATGGACCCAGCTTAGGACCCGCTCCATTCACAGGTTCAGCTGCAGGTTAAGGTCCGGGACGAGGTCCCGCACTGTAAAGCGCCAGTCGGGAGGCCAGTCAAATAAAAAGCTGATTTGCATGCTCCTTTGCAGCTCCTGCGTCCGGACAGGGGGCATTAGAACTGAAGAGCACCGTCAGCATCGGCAGCAGGAAAATGAGGACAGGAGGAAGTATCCTCGACGTGTGAGGTTAAATAGATTTCATGTTTGCCCCCGCTTGTAGATGGTGCACATGGATGGGGATGAGGTCTTGTCTGTCTGCCTGTCGCACAGTTATGCCGCAGACATGGCTTGCTTTTGATTTAAGCGCATTGTTTGCGTTAAATATTTGCCATGCCGGCCACGCAGACAACTGCAGACGAGCCACGTTCCGCTTTCCACGTTCCGAGCTGGAGCCGGAGCGAGGACACAGCTGCGGCCAAGAGCTGCAAAGGCAAGTGGAACTCGACTCCCACTCTGCCGCACAGCTGGCAGCGTGACACGAGGAACCCTTTGGGGTCGAGAAAAAGGACTACGAGTATACCTGAAACAGTTTTCCAAATCTAAATAAATAGGTATGACTAGGACCTCAAAACAGACAGTCTTCTTTTCAATTTAATTGGAAAATGTGTGAAGAGCCGGACCAATCATTCCGTGGTTATATTCGTTAATCTCGTGCGAAGTTCTTTTAGCACGAGCTCATCTCTATGGTCTCTCGGCTAAGAAGCGAGCAATCCTCGCGTCTTGTTTGATTTCCGCTCCTTGACTGGCTGGGCACACAACCTTCGGCATCCTTGTTTCTTTGGCGCCTTTCCCCTGCCGCCAGCCGCCAGCCGCCTTCCGCCGTTCGCTCCTGCGGCCAAACAGCTTAAACTTCACACGCAGACACGTCTGCAGTCAAGTGGGACCAAAGGATGGGATGGGAGTGGGGGTCTGATATGGGGTGGGGTCGGTGTCATGGAGGAGTTCCCATGAAGTGCATTAGTTGCAATTGAATTTGTACATTGTGCAGTCGCCGTGGCTTCGCTGGCGGTGGGAGTCCTTTCAAGTGCAATTTTGTTGTGAAATTGGATTCCATATTGTTAGCTGTCCTCGTGGTGGAACACAGCTGTGGTTTCCAGCACAGCCACTCCTTCTATGAGGGGTAAAAGTTAATTAGAAAACCAGTCAGGTGCTTGGGAGCTGCTTGAGAGACGCTAATTGAACGGCCGCAGCTGGCACCTCTGGCCGGACTTGAGCCGCGATTATCGGATAAGGAAATCAACTCGAACCCATCCCATCCCATTCCATCCCATCCAATGCCATCCCCTGAGGGGCCAACAGCCAATTGGCAGTGAGTGATTCAGGCCCCACGGGCCTGCTTATCGAATGGCATCCATCAACTGTAGTTCACCCCTTTCTCTGAAAGGGCCACACAATCCCACAATCCCACAACACATTGAAAGTAGTTCGGATTAGGTTCTTGATGGTTATAAGCGACAATGGTCGCACTTTATTGAAAGATTCTTTGTGTTCTGTTCTTCGAGAGTCTGTCTGCTCGGTCTGCTCGCATCCAGCTTGACCGCTTAT